ATTCTAAAGAATGCATCTCCTTTATTACGACCTACTTTGAAAATGGTCGTACAGTAAAAACGATAGGATGTATATTATTATTAGTATAGTATTATTACTGCTTTGTTAAATAAAGTTCGATAAGATAATACTTACTACAGGTGTAAACACCTTACTAGAATTTCGTTGAGGAGGGGGTCAATTTTTGAGGTTTTACCTATCTTCCACAAAATTTGTTAAAACAAAACGACATAGCACGTAGTGCTGCCCTCATCACGATGATTTCACGACTATTTAAAAATCTGGAACATGGTCAGGGGGCAATTACACCTATTGCCTCTCCCTGTATCCGCGTCTGAAACAGCCATGGATTTGTCGTACACGGTTTTTAAAATTCATTTGCTTACAAAATAATGCTTAAAACGCTCGTAAATTAATTTTATTTATTAATAACAATATACCTTTTTTGACCTTATTGTATCAAAGTAGGGCAATAATTTAAAGTGCCCAATAAGCAAAAGTTAAATTTAAAAACAAAAATACAGTTTTTTATGTATAATTTCGATTTTATACCACCGTTTTCAAAATAGGGCAAAGGTGGCTGCGTCCCTAACAATAAATAATTCCATGAACAAAAATTGTTCAAACAAAAATATTGTCAGTTAAATTTTAAAACGAAAATATACTTCTGTAGATGGATGCTTGATTGTGTATCTCTATTTTCAAAAATGGGCAGTTAACAAAAGGGGGTACAGGCAACACTTACAACAATAATTAACTAGGTACAAAACAATACAGTTAAATTTGAAAGAAAAATATACTTATTGTGTTGACTGCATACCACTATTTTTAGAGTACCTAGTCGTAATACGGCAACTCTTAATGTAAATAGTATAAAAAAATCCAAACGTTACCAGGTCAATTTGAAAATATATTTCCCTTGATGTATGCTTTCGATTGCGTCGGTCTATTTTCAAAGTAGGGCAGTAAGGGGATGCATCCCTTAGAATAAGTAATTCCGTGGAAAAGAACATAAGTTTTATCTGTTAAATTTTAATATGAAAATAAACTTATTTTTATGTACCTACGTTTCCATTGTATACCTACCATCATCTTCTAAGTAGGGCCGTAATAAAGAAGATGCATCTCTTAGAATAATTAATTCCGTTAAAAGGATTTAAGTTTTTACAGTTGAATTTAAAAGAAAAATAAACTGCTTTCAAAACATGCTTTCGATTGCATACCAGCATTTTCAAAGTAGGGCCGTAATACAACAACTCTTACAATAATTAATGCAGTAGAAAGAATCTAAGCCTTGTCACATAAATTTGAAAATATATTTCGATTGTGTGGATTTCTTTTTAAAGTAGGACAGTAATAAATGGAGCACAAGTATCCCTTAAAAACATAATAAGTAACCCTTTACAATAATTAATTCCGTAGGAAAAAAATCTGAGTGAAGTCGATTAAATTTAAAAATTAAATTTAAACTTATTTTGAATTTTGTAAAGAATTCAAGTTTTTTTATTAATTTTGAAACGAAAATTAATTTCTTTTGAAGCATGCTTTCGATTGTATACTATTAGCGCCTATAAATTAAATTAATTTGAGAACGTTTAGTACATCATTTTACATGTAAATTCATTTTCAAAATAGCCAACAATTGGTTTTCTGATTCAGTTTGTTTTGCACCTAATTCATATTTCATATATTTGCTTATTCGTACACGTAGGCTCTTCAAGTCCATGTCGCGCGTCGCGTCCATAAATTTCTTTAGTTTTTTCGAAATTTAATTAGAACCGATCTGTTGCCATCATGTAGACGGTCCTGTTTCAATAAATTTCTACCGTTTTCGAATATCTCTAGGTAAGCTAATACCATCCATTTTAATTTTTTAACTTCAGTATGTATTTTTCTAGTGTTGAAAATGGCTATATATTATTAAATAGCCGAAACATGTCCACGTATGTAACAAATTTTAATGTTTTCTGATTTGACTGATGGTGACTTTAAGTCCCTTTAGGTCACGTTAATAAAGACAATATTTTGCAATAGAGTCGATTTTGAGTTTTTAACCCACCTGTTAAAAAATTTACACTCTATTTTGAGATGGACTTACCCCACTTTGTATCATACTACTTAAAATACATATAAAGGTACCAATATATTTATGCAGGAAAAATTCGTTATACCCGAAAATTAAGACCTGAGCCTTTGTAGACACAAAGTTCCAACGCAAATCTACGAGTTGTGGCGTCAGCATCTTCGTCACAGGATCATGTTTACGCCACCGTTCCACATGAAGTTTCACGTTCTCTTTTGATGCCTGTTGATTAGGGTTTGGTCTATTCGTAGAAATGAGAAGGAAATTCATTCAAGTTAAAGACCACCTTTTAATTTTGTCTTTTTATGTTCCCCTATTTTCTTATTAAAAAAGTTGAGATGTAGACAATTCTACTTAAATTTAGACGCAGAGATGCAGAAACAACTATAATTTAAAATTCAGTTACTCCGATGTAGCGATTTTGAGACTTAAGAGCTACTTAAAAGTACTGTATAAGAATAAGAATAAGCAAAAAATGTTAAAATAAATACCATACAATTAATTAAATAAAAAATAATTGCTCCAAAGATGATTGAAATTTAAAACCAAAACGTCAGAAGAATCGTTTTTAATATTAAAAATAGTTAAATAGGCCGGTAATCCCTAGTAAACATCAAATTATTTAAGAGCTATAGAATATTACGTTTTCACGCAGCGTTAAAAATTCAAGGTATTTTACTTTTCAACGTTTTTTATATTTTTTGAATACCCTGTACATTAAATTGAAAAATACGATAATCTTGGCGACACTACGGTTTTAAGGAAAACAATTTTTTTAGGAAGAATGACGTTTTCTCGATAACTGAAATTTTTTTCAGTATAGGCAACCTGAACTAGGGATACCCTATATATTAACAAAGATTATTTTCAGATTGTTTATTGTAATATATTATCATAAAATTATCTATTATAGTATATTATCATAACATGACACTAGTATACTCGAGTATACTACAATAGATAGTCTGAAAATTACCTGTTAATATAATACCTATACTTAAGTGTATATTGTGGAGGTTTGTATAATAATAATACCTAAATATTTAAATAAATATTCCTCTCTCATACATGATCTGGTGTACATATATCGGGTGTCAACGAAATTATTAGACAAGCCACAGTTTCAATATAAAACTTGGCAGGAGTAATATATACCAAGAACGGCCAATTTTTCACTACATGACACTTTTCCCTCACTTTCGCGGTTTCTCCGGAAATGACCCCAACTTTGAAATTTCTAAAGGGAACACCCTATATATTTTTAAATTTTTGGATTACGGAGACGATTGCTGTTTTTTATTTGAGACTACTTAATTTTTTAGGGCTATGTTTGCATCTAGATTGCAGTAAATGCGTTCCACAGCTCACTTATTTTATTTGCAGCGTTGTTAACAAAATACTTTTTTTAATCTAGTTTGGTTCAATTTCCATGGCATATTTACTGGATAAGCGTATTTTTTCGATAAGAAACTTGTATACTTATTTTGGTTAATATCAAACTGATTTTCGATTTGAAGGTATCAATGGATTTGTCATACTAGGTACTAAGTGTGTAAAAGATGTTACCATTTAAAAAGCTCGACTTTCATCGTTTTGGTCCATTTGATTGATTTGAGTGCATTCACCGAACGCTAGATGCAAATATAAAAATAGCTTTAAAAAATATCAAGTAGCCTCAAAAAAAAATTTTAAAATTAGAAATCATATTGAAAATCGTCTTCGAAATCCAAAAAATATAAAAATATGCAGGATCTTCCATTTAAAATTCCAAAGGACCATTTCTGGAGAAACCGGAATTGATAGAAATGAAAAGATACTTGAGCGTTCTTGGACTTGGAATTGAGCACTTGGAAAAGTACACATGGACCGATTCTGGTTGAAGCGACGGACAGGATTTGTTTCATAATTAATTCCAAAACCATTTTAGACATCTTTAGCTTTGCGGCTCCACAGAAAAATGTGTAGAGCATTTAATAATTAATTATAAAACATATTCTGTCCGGCGCCTCCACCAGAATCGGCACATTTGTTCTTTCCCAATGTGTATATTATCCTTGGCAAGTTTAAGACTTATATCTACCCCAGCTAAACATCACTGCTTTAATAACGGCTCTCCCTGAAAATAATCGTAAATAAAGTCAGTTCTATCTTTTTTAATAAAGACCAATAAACGGACTTTGTGCAACTACAAAATTTTGGCAATTCTGTGAAGCATTGGGATTTCATATTGTATAATATGCAAATTGATAGTCCCATAGACACTAGATTTGACCTTGATTGCAGCATCCTCTTAATTCAGCATACGATCGCGCGATTGGAAAATTAATTGGATAAACTTTATGTTTTTATGTTTTGCCAAAAACCGATTTTTTTACTCCGATTTCAACCGTTAAGAGCATTCAACAAGGTAGGAACTACTTAAAATTATCCACGTTTTCACGAATGTGTAAAAGAAAACAAAAAAACATAATTTGGTAAATAATTTACAGATAAAAACAGTACCTAGTCGAGAATAACATATTTCTTCAAGTAATATCAGACAAAATTGTCTTAATTATCTACAATCTTTCAATAAAAAAGGTTTTAACCTATTATTGTTTATCAAATAATATAGTTTGGTCGATGAAAGTTAGATGCCCAGCCAATATAATTTTTAGGTATTTAAAGGGCTCATTATAACTGGTGCTCTCTAGTGGGTGTATCTTTGTCAGATACCAACCATCTCTCTTCTCGCCGAGCCCCTGTGACCGACCAAGCTAGATTTGGCAGTACCACGGTCTATGGCAGTACCTACTTACCACATAAGTAAAACTAGCGCCCAGTTTTATTTGTGTATAGTAGTTACTCTTGACGGTGTGGTAACAGTGACTTTAAAAATTAAACAACAGCTTTTTTTTAATTAGACACAAAAATGCTTTGACGCAGGCGGGGCTTGAACCCGGGATCTTTGGCTTTCCGGGCCAATGCTTTTCCAACGCGCGTCTACACCTCAATTCTCCTATTCGGGGTACCGTTCTTTACATAATTTACTACAATGTAAAAGAAGGATTAACCAAATTTGTATAATATTTCTAAAAGGGAGTAGCGTTTAACTGTATCTACTGCGAACTGCAGATTGTGCAATAATTCTCAGGATATCCCGGCGAGAGTATAATCTAACTGGTCTTATACGGGTTTGTTAAATTTTATTTTAATTGCGCAGAATAATTTAATTAGCATTTTCTCATTTGTAATAAAACGAGACATCCTGAGGATAAAGCAAGAAATATTATACGTAATCGCACAGCAATTAGAATTATTTTTAGTTTACCCCAGAGAACAAAACAGCTATTAATTCACTGAGATTAATTTAATGTGCAGATTCGTTACTGCTGTAAAATTGTGCCATAAATTACAAATGGATCACGCCTAATATATAGGCAGCATTTGGTACACTAGCAAAAGCAATCGATAATAAATGTGTTAGTTTCAGTATGCACACTGCACATTGCACAGTCTGCTACAGGTTCTATACCTGTATTAGCAGGATATCATAGATAGATAGATTTAATCATGTTATAACCAATTATAAACATTGGAAGACAAGTATGTTTTGTCATATTACAAATATAGTACCTAATACCTATTACAATTTAAATATAAAATTACAATAATAGTAATAATAGAATTAGTAATGTTCCGAGTTTTCTGGGTTTTTTTTTACTATAAAGCAAATGCGTTACCAGAATGAACTTAAGTCGCTCCCAGGGCGACAAGATCACCATGCGGTTCTTCATAGGCTTGTATAAGGGTGAATATTATTATTATTATAAACATATTATGTATACACATACAATAATCCATTGTACCACGGTTCATTATACCGCGACATAATTTCTGTTTCCGTTCCCATTTAGCATTCGTTGTATGAAGTACAGCCCTGAACACCCAAAGAACGTACAGTGTACACGTTACAGTTTTACTAATATGTTTTGTAAAATTTTTAGGTTTTCATCCAGAAAAACAACATGATTGTTTTTGGAGGTGTAATTCAACTTTGTGGACTGTATAACATACATTATAATGTATGTTCGAATAAAATTTTTGGCAATTTAAATTAGCTAATGAAGTCTTAAGTACAAATTTAAAGGTGTCCAAATAATTAGTTGTTGGAGCTTGTAGATTTTGAAAAGTTTATATAAACATAGGTTCAGTAATGTTTTCCTCACTTATTTGACAGATGATTCGCGTACCTGTCTTTATCTTACACAGTAGACTTCACAACGCGTAATAATGTTATTTAGACACACTAAACACCCGCATTGCGTAGCGCTAATAACAGCCATATTATTGCGGAATCAACTGACCTGCAGCGTCGCCATTTGAACTACACACGAAACTACCCTATATTATGCATCTCAGTCTCAACATGATGCTTAAATAATTTGATTTTAGATAACAGAATTACACATAGTGACACACCCGTTTGTCTTTACTTTAGGTATTATCGATAATATACTTACTTATGCCCTCAAAGCCCAACAGTTCCATTAGCTACACAAATGGCGAATCGGAGTTTACTTAATAACAATTAATACAGGAAATTTCAAATGTTATTTAATGGCATAAAGAGCTTTTGTTTATTCAAAACCACAGCTACACAATTCGCATTAGGTAGCTCTTTTAGAGTTAATAATGGATTAAGATAATTTGCACTTGGTTATTTTATACTTTAACTTAAGGGGAATCTCGCAGAAATTACGGAAATTACTCCTCGCTTTACTTGGTATATAAACAATTTTAATTTCTAACTTTTCCAACTTTCCACTCGCACAAAGCGGGTTAGTAATTATTTAGAGAAAGTACGCGGTTAGGCAAAAGTTTAGGAATCATGGGATTAAGCAAAATGTTACCCGTTTTTAATTATATGGTTATTTTTGGTCCCTTGTGAAAATACTTCGCATTGCAGATATTAACGATCAATTTTAAGTATTGTGTCATTAGCTATAGTAAATATTAATATATAGATCAAAATAAAAGTGCATTAATATTAGAAAAGAAGGTGGTAATATGGAACCTGCTTTTTATATGGAACCCCTCGATTATTTGGAAACAACCAGGGACATCGATATGTAATGCTCAAAATTATGTTAATAGTTACGCATAAACGTCGCACATCTATTGGCCATATCGTCTGTGCTGCTAGTTTCGCTGCATGTGGTCGAAGTATCAACTCTGATTTTTGAAAAGTTTTATTTATGAAGTGTTTTGTCCAGTTTAGTGGTCCCGTTTAGTGGTAAGTAAGTTCTGAGTGTTTCAGTAGTTCAACATAGGCTTTGTTTTTATTGTTTTGTTAATGAAATATCTGTATCGACTAGTTTAAAAATATAACTTAATTGTTTTCTAAACCATGCATTGTTGTTAATATGGACCCCTCTTGCTGCTGGTATTATGGAACCGCGTTCATCGTTTCTGACTCATCTAGTGATGGTCCAGAAATCCGTTTTGTTAGAGAACCCAACTCAAAAGATGATGCAATCTGTGTTTTCTGCGATGGAAAATTTTTCTAGGACATAAGAGGTGAACTATGGGTGCAGTGCATCATGTGCAAAATGTGAGCCCATTGTGATTGCGCAGACTGCGAAAAGGACAATTACGTTTGTGATTTTTGTCGATAAATGTACCTATTATTATTATTTTTTAGTTTAGAAGCCTACCCTTTCTTTTCATTAACCTAGTATGAATTATATTATGATAATATGGATCAACTTTTGGGGGTCCATATTATCAGCACTTTTTCCGCCGAGCAAAAATTGCACTTTTTTCGGAATTTTGTTTTTATCTGTGAACTAATCTTCAGGATGTTAATTTTCCATTTCAGCATAATAAAAATCATTAATCAGAAAACTGGCTATTGTATAATTTTTGTCGATATAACAAAAAAACAAACATTTTACGTAGAAAAACTAAATGGGGTTCCATATTACCATCTTCTCCTCTAATAAATACTTAGTATGACGTCATGGTCCTTAAAAACAAAATTTAGCCATTACAATTTACACTTTAACACTTCCCGCATATAAGAAGTATACTAAACTTATTTTGAAATGTAAAAACTTAGAGGAACCCTGACCCAGAATATGTACCTAAGTACCATGAAATTTTTTTTCAGGAAACAAGAAAAAAACTGTTTTTATTTGTAATTGAACGTAAGATTTACAGCTTTTTTGGACGGGTTTTAAAAAAATACGCATCATCTATATAGATAATAATCTTAGGCAAATATTATTTTCTTCATGAAAATTCATGAAATTTTAACTCATAGGAGTTATTCATAATTTTGATTTTCCTCACATAGATGTAATTTACATTTATCTATGCACATTGGAGATGTTACATTATCACCAAAAGTAATACGTGATGACGTTACATCTCCAATGTACATTAGAAACAAATTAAGTAAATAAATTAATAAAAGAATATAACCAATAATTAATTAATTGATATTCACTTTTTATTATTATACAGCAGAAGCCCAAGCAGAAGCGGATGGAATAATGAGTTGAAAATATTAAAATATTAAATACAAAAATATTAAACACTATGTTAACACATTTCACATAGAATATATTTTTATCCCCCAAATTTGGTATGCTTTACATAGGAGGTCTATATTTTTCGATTTTTAAGATAAATTTAAATTATTTTATCACATTGGAGAAATTACCAATAGATGCAGCTTGAAAAATGGAACAGTTTGATATAATATCCAAATATATGCATTTTTTGTCACATTGGAGGTATTCGCAGCTCAGCGACGATATGTAAAAAAATTGGAAGGGACGTTTTCTGCATTCCTATTCCCAGAAAATCCATTTTCCGTCGAGTTGAAAAGTTGCCATATGGGTTTTCGTGTTTTCATGTCCTGTGATATGCTGAAACTTTGCAAATGTAACTCAGATGCGAGACGCAGAGGAAAGGGGAATTGAAGAGCCTAACGCACTAAATTCTATGGGGGAAAGGGTCGATAAGTGGGGAGAGTAATGAGGCTTTATTTTTTTTTAATCTTGTTTATCTTTCTTCCGCGGTCAGCTATCCCCATACCTCTGTAGCGCGTGCTGACCGAAACAGGCGGCGTAAGAGACGACTCCATTTCATTTTGTACAACTGTGCAACATGGAAAATGTTCGTTAAGACTTTTTTTTTAGAATGTATAGATCCTGGTCAGTCATCTAAAGCAGGGTTTTAGCCATGTCGCTGTAACTCATTCAAGCCCTTTTTGTAACAACTCATACTACAATTATCAGGTTTCTATAGGGCAAAACATTTCTGTTCTTCACAGATTTCTGCTTGTTTTTATTTTCTCAATAGGATTTCATTGAAAACAGAAGAGGTGTTATAATTAGGTGATTTTATTTTACCGACGGAATTTTTTTTCTACCAATTCGCAACGCGCCAGAACTTTGCTTTACATAAAAAAAGTTTCTTATTTTACTTAACTAAACAGTTTTCATGGATTTGTCCATCTCGCGAAAACAAGAAATTTTAGTCGATGGCTCCCGTACTATAAAAATGTGTTTAAAATGTGTTTATTACCGCCTTCCACGTTACTAGTGTAACTCCCTGAGGCCGAAACCTGTGTGAGCAAAGGAGACGGGGACCTACAGCTTAAAGTCGAATCCGAACGACTTATACGGGACAATTTTTAAAAAAAATTTTTGCCGTTGGTAGGCTTCGAACCCACCTTGGCTAGGTATGAACGATTAGAACACTGTTGCTTTAACCGTTCGGCTACCAACCCGATAAGGGTGTAATAAACATCTAATTAGTGTGGCAGCTAGTCAGACAGAACGCGATTGCTATGACAACAAATTAACATGTTAAAAAATTAAATCGGTGCGTTATTAAAAAGAGAAAGAATAAAAAAATATACCTGTAACTTATAAGCAAGCTTAAAAGGGACAATAAGTATTCCCGCTCTCTATAAAAAAACGGATTTTAAAAAAGAGC